TAACTGGTTATAAGGAGTAGTTAGGGACTTAGCTAACATCTATGACTAGAATTGATAGAGCTTGCCATGTTCCTTGTATTTAGATCATTTCCTTCGACTTTAAAGCAGAATCAATGGAGGATGTCCAAAGGATCAATTATGATTTAAGCAAAGGTACTATCACTAGATAGAATTTACAAAAGCTAAGAGCCCTTTCCTTGTGGCTTTATCATTCATATTAATCTATTTTAAAAGGTAGAAATAGGATCAAAATGAATATTATAGGAGGCACTATCTTCTGCTCCCTCTAGTCCAGTGGTAATGAACCTATGGCACATGTGCTTCAGCAGGCTGTTTGTATCATTGAAAGCTCTAAAAGGTTTGCCATCACTGCTCTAGTCTCTTCCTACTCAGTGTTTGCTATCAAAGAGAACTAATATTTATGACTTACTGAGAACTTTCTAGCTGCTTCTTGGGATAAGTGCAAATAGAAAAATCACCTCTAAACAGACCATTCTTATTTTGTGAAGAATAATTTGAGAAGTTCCCTTTAGTCTTGTACAAGTAGCACTGAGTAGACCACATTGTCCTGAGACACGGACCTTAATGCTAACTGTAATTTTTATTATATTAACAAAACAACTTTTATCACAACATAGGCTGCACTATGCAAAGCTCTTTGCTGGAGAGGGAGCTGACCAGTTTTTACAAGAAGAGCCCCTAAATACTAGTTGGAAGTATGTATATGCTATTCTGTTCAATTCTTACAACAACTCCGTAAAGTAAGTATAAAAGCTGAGATCCAAAGAGACTAAATAATTTATCCAAGGCCACAAAGCTCCAAAGTTGCCTTTGGACTCAAGCCTATGGATTGGCCCAAGATCTATACTTTCCCATCTCACCAGGCTGAGTGAACATGAATTCCTAAACTGTATCTCTGTCAGCAAGAGCAGTAGGAGCACTGGGCTGTGCCCCTGACACGTAAGACAATGAGCAAGTCATATGGTCACTCAGTGGCTTAGTTTCCTCATTGACAAAAGAAGGCATTTATCAGTGGTTCTCAAAACTCAGAACTTGAATCAAAGTTTGTTCTTATCTATCACAAAATTGGAAGACAAGGACATATTGTTCTCATAAAGCTACATTTCATTCTATTTAAAGAACTAACCTTTGATCTAAGGTTATATTCTTCTTACATGTTTTGCTGTTCACAGTGTTCCTGTTATACAAGAAACAGATAGATTTTTTTTTAATATTCTATTGAGTGACTGATGTTTGTGTCCTGACGCAAGTTCTAACACAGTGTTCTCAGGTTATTTTGAAAGTAACATAGGACTATGTAATGCATGGTCCTTGAATTTACACCAAGACTATTCATGGCAATATATCAGCCAGTGCTATATTTAAAGTTTCCCAGAACAGCTGAGTGTATGAATTTGAAATGTTTGCCACATAATAAATATCTTAGTTCATTTTCTGTTGCTGTAACACAATGCCTGAGACTGGGAAACTTATTAAGACTAGAGATTTGTTTCTGGAAAGTCCAAGGTTGAGGGGTCCCTATCTAATTAGGGCCCTCTTGCTGCATTATTCCATGTTGGAAGGCAGAAGGCCAAGAAAAGAAAGGTCTGGACTCACTTGCATAAAAATCCACTCCCTGAATTACTAATGCACTCCTGCAAGAACTACGTTAATCCATCCATGAGGAGGGGCCCTCATGACTTCATAAGGGTCCTACCTCTCAACACTGTTGCCTTAGCGAATAGTTTCTAGCTCACAAACTTTGAGGGAACACAAAGATGATGTGGTATTGAGCCAACATAAGATAATACATTGAGGAAATCCATGAGAAAACCAAGGACTCCAGCTAGCTGCCAACATCACTTCACTCAGGAATATAAATGGATGACAAGCAAGCACATGAAAAGGTCATCAGGGCCATTAGTCACTAAGAAAGTACAAACTAAAGCCACAGTGAGATGCTACTACACAAGAATCACCAAAGTTAAACAGACTTAACAGCAAATGCTGGCAAGGATAGGAGAACTGGTCCTCTCCTGTCCCACTCAAGGCAATGCTAAGTGGCACAAACACTTTCTAAGACAGTTTCACGATTTCTTAAAAAGTTATACTTACCATATCATCTAGCAGTTCCATGGCTAGGTGTTTACTGAAGAGAAAAAGAAGCTATATCCTTATAAAGACATATATCATTATTCATAGCAATTTTATAGATAATACTCAAAAGCTGGGAGAAAACATTGACTGTCCACTTATAACCTGTGATATAGCCTTAAAATGGAATGCTACTCAGCAATAAAAAAGAGTGAACTAAACTAGATACCTCTACATTCCTGTTATAATGGCTAATATCCAAAATACTGACAACACGAAATACCAGACAGGCAGTTTCATAACAAAACTAAATTAATCTTACCACATGATTCAGCAGTTACACCCCTTGGTATTTACCCAAATGAGTTGAAAACTTAGATCCATATAAAAACCTGCACACAAATGTTTATGGCAGCTTTCTTCATAACTGGCAACACTTGGAAGAAACCGAGATGGACTTCAATCGATGAATAAACTGTAATTCATCCATATAATGGCATATTATTCAGCAATAAAAGCAAATGAGCTATCACACCACTAAAAGACATGAAGGAAACATAAGTACATGTTACTAAGTGACAGATGTCAGCTGGAAAGGGCCAATACCTTACTATTTCAACTATGTTACATTCTGCAAAAGGCAAAACTATAGACAGTAAAAAGATAAGTGTTTACCTGGAGGATGTGGGCAGGGAGGAGGAGGGATGAAAAGATGAAGCAGAAGATTTTTAGGGAAGTGAAACTATTCTGTATGATACTGTGTTGGTGTGATGATATCTGTCCTCACTGTACACTTGTCAAAACCCATAGAATATACGGCACAAAGAGTGAACTACATGTAATACAATATATGCATTTACTATGTCACATTGTTACTGTGTAAGTAGTTAAGGTACAGAATAGAGTAATGTAAAACATGGACTTTAGTGAATAGCAGTATATCCATATTGGTTCATCATTATACATCAAATGAATACAAAATACACAAATACAAAATACTAATAATAAACAGCAAGAGTTAGGAAAGACCAGGTATTCAGGAATTCTGTATTTTTTGCTCATTTTTTTTTATAAACCTGAAATGGCTCTTTCAAAAAAGTTTATTAGCTAATAAAAAAGGCTAAAACTATTTGTACACCCAATAGGATAAATTGCAAATAACTGTGCCGAGTAAAGGAAACCAGACCATAAAACAATATACACTGTATGTATGATTCCATTTCTATAAATTCTAGACAATGCACAGGAATCTATATCAATAGAAAGCAGATTAGTGCTTGAGGATGGGGAGGGAGAGATTACAGAGGGGAGGGAAGGTCCTCATTTTGGCTGTGGCAATGGCTTCATGGATGTATATACATGTGAAAATGTGTATTTTAAATGTATGCAATCTGTTATTTGTCAATTGTCCTTCAATAGAGGTGTTTCTGAGATGCTGAAACAGAAAGTAGCCCAGCCATTGGCTTCGCTCTCTGATAGCTGTTGGTCTGGCTGTTGCTTGTGTGAGCTGGGCTTGCTCAGGCCTCTGTGGTCATGGGGTAATTTGGCTGGGGCTAGGAGAACTCCCAACACTCTGCCCCACATCTCTAACCTCTGTCTCCCATCCTCCAGCAGGCCACATGCTAATGCCAGGGGTTCAAATTTAGGGACAGAAATGCACACCATTTGTTTGTTTTGTTTTGTTTTGTTTGAGACAGTCCTGCTATGTAGTTCAGGCTTGCCTTGAACTCACTATGTAGCAGAGAAATTACAGGTGTGTGCCACCACGCCTAACTGACTTTTAAAAATTATCTTTGTGCCCAGTGTGATGGCACACACCTGCAATCCCAGCACTTGGAGGCTGAGGCAGGAGAATTGCTGCAGAGAAGCCATTAATTGGTTTGTTAAAGCAACTAAAACATGGCATACCTTAATAATGTTTTAATTTGTATTTCTTAATTCTATTAGGGAAGTGCTTTTTGTGTAATGACCTATTTTATGTTACTTTCTTACATATAATTTGGCAATCTCTTTGTCTCATTGGACACTACTTGCTATATTGATTTTATATTTGTATTAATTCTTTAGGAAGGGATAGTAAGACTTTCATAGTGACATTTGTTACATTTTCATGTTCTGTTTATATTTCTTTGGCTATTAGTTTGTTATATTCGGTTACCAAAATGTTTTAAAATAGTTTAACTTCCAGCAAAACTATTTTAAAACATTCTCCTTCAACTTCAGAGGTTATATAAGTTTAACTTCTTTCTGTAGTTGTTATGAATCTGTTTTTTCTGTTTCCTTGTAAGAACTGTTTTTGCTTTATTTTGTGGTGCTGGGACTGAACCTAAGGCTGTAAACATTCTAGGCAAGTACTCTAGCACTGAGCCATATGGCCAGCCCCTTACAACTGTTCTTAAATTACTTTATTCTAGACTATATTTATAGTGTTACCCCTACTACCAAATTAAATTTGACAACTGAGGCAAGAGTGACAGAGAAGCTGGCAGATTTGTCTAAGATCACGTAGAGAGCAAATGTGGAGGCAGGGCTTGAATCTCACTTCCTCTCACTTAAAAGTTCCCATTAGGGCCAGGGGGTGAGGGGGTGAGGAGGTGGGGGGGTGGGGGGGTTAGCTCAGTGGTTCCACCCCCTGGCCAGCAAGCACAAGGACCTGAGTTCAATCCCCGGTACAAAAAAAACACACATAAAAGTTCCCATTAAACTGTACCATGTCAAGAACACAAGGCTAAGAGAAGTGATAAAAATCTACACTTTTGTGCAGAATGTACTTTCCACTTCCATTCTCCCTTCATTTATTACTTTTTTCTAAAGCATAGGGTTAGATCTATCGATTTTGAAATAACCATTCTTTTACACATTTAATAATGCAGCAGGCAATGGGGTAGATAACTGTGAACTTACAGATGACTATGTATACTTCCTACACTCTGCGTCCAGCCTCCGTGAGCCAGTTTGTACACAGGTAAATGCAATATGGGAGATCCTTCTTTTAATTGTAAATATTTACAAACCTGACATTGTACAACCCATGCATACTTTGGTGGGTTTGCTGTTGAGAGAAAGTCCTATGATGTGATGGTTTTGAAATTCATTATGTATTAACTTTCATTGATTATTGCTTTCTATACATGTTTTTAATTGCAGGATATCTCTGGCTCCTGTCCTGTTATCTGCTTTCTAGATAGTTCATTTTCTTTTATTTTTTAAAGCTTGATTGTATAATTCACATTATATCAGCTCTGATTCTTTGTTCTAATTATCCAAGTTTTTGTCCCATATTCATATTTATGTTTTTTCAGTACTGTGTTCCATACTTTATCAGTATTGCCTATGAATCTCTTTGGAAGTAAGTAATAGTGATACCTTTGCATTCAGAATTCTTAGCTTTGTGGCCATTTTCTCTAGATTACTGCTCACTTCCTGTTCTCTTCCAGTGTTCCAGTACTTGTTGATTAAATTTCAATCTATATCTTTCTATTTTCTTCCTTTTATTTAGACATTAACATGGGTTTTTGTGAATTTGTAGTGGCTATTTCTATGAAGAATTCGCTTACACTGAAATCTACTACCTGCCTAGGAATTTCTAGGCAGACTCCCAATTCAGGGCTAACTGATTTTTTTTTCAATGAAAGAGAAATATACATTTATTATATAAAAATTAGAAAAATTAAAAAATTAAAGAACAAAATAAGTATCACTCTTAATCCTAGAAGCCAGAGATAATCACTCCGAACTGTTTCCTAATAGGACTTTACAAATACATGTGAAATGTTTTTCACATAATCAGGACAATTTGTTTATGTCATGCATTTTTCCATTCAAACATATAATATGAACTTTTTCCATGTCATTAAAAATCTTTGAAAGTCTGATCAGTGGCTAATATTCTATCACATGAATATGTAATAATTTATTTAGCTAGTCTTTTGTTTTTAAAGGAGTTATAATCAAGATTTGTCACATACAGGTACAAATTCCATATGATGAATGTTATTATGTATATCTAAAATGTTTCCAATAAATTAATTTTTAAAAATGAAAGAAAAGAATTATAATTAATTGCCAGCAATACAGCCATTTGATTTAGCTAAGCTTGTATCAATGAAGGCTTGAGTGTTTCCACAGTTCACTAGTTTATAAATAACACTGTAATTAATGTATTTTTAGATACAAATTTTTGTCCCTGTCTCAGATTATTTCCTTAAACTAGATTTTTTAAAAAGTGGAATCATTGAATTTAATGATATGGACATTCCCTTCTCTCTTTCTCTTTATTACAATGTTATATATGCTGAAAGCAAATAAATTCAGTGAAGGTAAAGTCAAAAGTCAAAGTCCTGGGTTCCTCACCCTGCCCTCTTATTCTCAGCCTACAGTCAGCTACTAGTTGAAAATTTAACCTGCATGTCTCCCTGCTTGCCATTTTTTCCTCATAACTCTGATTATCTTATACTTACTGTTGTAAAACATGTTTCCATGTCACAATATAATTTGGACATTTTTCATTTTCAGCCCAGAAAAATGAACCCATTCTTTTAGGAGCTCTATGTTGTTCCATTGTATGGATTCCCTATAATTTACTTAACTGATTCCACATGTTGTTCCTAAATATATCTTGTCAATTACATCACCCTGGTAAATTTTTAGCAGTGTAATTTCGGGGTCAAAACTTACACAGTTCATAATATATTATAATAAATAAATATATATATAAATATATATATCACCCGAAATTGTTCTATGCGAAAGTTGCCCTAGTTTATACTCTTATCATGTGCATGGGGGAGTATTAGTTCCTTACATATTTTCTGGTTCTGGGTATTATCAAATCTTCTCATTTAAGTCAAATGACATTTTTTAAATGCCATAACCTTTAAATTTAAGTATTTATTTAATTTTGAGCAAAATTTGCATTTTATGTTTATTAACCACTTATATGTTTTCTTGTCAATGCTTTGTTTGTATCCTTTGTTCCTTCTTCTACTTTTCAGTGTTAATTTGTAAAGTAGGTTTCTATATTATGAAAATTACCTTGGCAGCTATGTTACAGATATTTTACTCTCATTTGTCATTTGCCTTTTTTCTCTGTGGATTTGTCTGTTCCTTTTTAATTTCTGGAATCAAATGTATTGACCTTTCCTTTTGTAGAATCTGGTTCTCATATTTTGTATTATTATACTTCGAAAAAATTTTCAGCTCCAAAGTTTTTCTTTAAATACATAGATTTCTGTCTAGCGCTTCAACAGGTTTTGTTGTTGTTGTTGTTTTGTGTTTTGTTTTGTTTTGTTTTGTGGTACTGGAGATTGAATCCAGAGCCTTCACACTGAGTTACATGCCCAGCCCTTTTTATTTTTTATTTTGAGACAGGATCTCCCTGAGTCACTGAAGTGCCCAGGCTGTGCTTGAACTTTGGACCCTCCTATCTCATTCTCCAGAGTCCTGGGGTTACAGGTGTGCACTACCATGCTCTCCTGACAGCTTTAATTTTTGGTTCTAAATCTCATTCACAACTTGGATGTGGTGACACAAGCCTGTAATCTCAGCACTCAGGAGCCTGAGGCAGGAAGATTGTTTTGATTTTTGAGGCCAGCCTGGGCTGCACAGTGAGTTCAAGGCCAGCCTAAACTACATACCTAGTGAGTTGCTGTCCAAAAAACCCCAAAGCCCCAAAGAAAGCAATCTGATTCACACAGAATTTATTTTTGATTTAAAGTATAAAGTAAGTTACATAGCTTTATTATTTTTTTCAAATAGCTAGCTGTCCAGTATCATTTACTAAATGATCTTTGTTCACTCAAATTTGAAATGTTGACTTTCCATATTTTAAATTCTGTTGTATACTTCCTTATATTGGAGGCTAATTTCTCGTGATTCCAATCTGTTTAATTTTTTGAACTTTTTTTTAATCTCAACTCTTTATTTTTCTGGAGTTTTTGCTTCAAAATCTAGTAGAGCTAGCCTTACTTTATTGCCCTGAAAGATGTTAAAGATCATTATATAAAATACAAGGATGATTATGTCGATATATTTTGGACCCTTACTAGCACTATTTTAGCTAAGGGTGGCCTTGAACTTGTGATTTCCCTGCCTCAGCCTTCCAAACACGGGGACTGTAGGTATGCACCACCACACTTAGCTAATTCTGAAAATTCTTTGCCAATATGATCGAAACTACTTTTTATTTCTCTGACATTAGTGAATTAGTCGGTGTGAAATGTTTGTTTATCTTTTTTCTGAATTTTCAGTTGACATTCATATTTTTTAATTGACATGAAATTCCATATAGGTATATATATTTAGCGATATAAGGTATATATAATGTTTAGTGTTAAAGACAGATTCTTTGGCCGTGTGTGTGTGTGTGTGTGTGTGTGTGTGTGTGTGTTATCCAGGGTCCTCCCACTGAGCTACAGGCCCAGCACTTTTTTATTTTTTAAGACAGAGTCTTGCTAAATCATTAAATTTCTCAGACTTGAAATCTTCTTGCTTCAGCCTCCCAGAATCCTGGGATTACAAGCATGTGCCACCATGCCTTGCTTTTCTGACATATTTATTTTTTAAATCTATTTTTATCATACAAATACATGCTACTGTTACAGACATAGCAATATAATAATTAAAAAGGCAAACAGTATTGAGTTCTTAGATTGATTTTCTGTTATCTCCTGAGACATACCTTGTAGATATTATATGCGCTGTTTGGACTTCTTATCACAACTGTGGAGGATTTTAGTTCTTTTCTATTCACTTTTATTCCTCATATAGTTATAGTACAATTTTTGTTCAAGTGAATGAGTTGATCTTTTCATTAAATTTTGCACTGCTGGTCATTGGTAAACCAAGTAAGGTCCTTTGATGATGGGTTCAATCACTTGACATGGTCAATATCCATCTACTCTGACCTGTGAACATGCCGATTTTTTTTAATCATTCAGCCTAACTGTATTAGTCAGCTTTCCTGTAGCTGAGACAGATACCTGACACCCTCAACTTAAAGGAGGGAGGTTTCTTTCGCTCATACTTGCAGAGGATTCAGTTCATGGTTGGCTAGTTCCACGGCAGAAACATGATGGAAGGGTGTGGCAGGAGAAAGCTGCTCAGCTCATGGCATCTGGGAAACAGAACAAGAGAACAAAGTGAGAGAAGAGAGAAAGGGGCCAGGAACCATTTAGGGTATCCAAAGTCACACTCCATGACCCACTCAGACACCCTCAGAAGGGTGCTTTACTAATCCTCTAAGCATTTCCTAATCCAGTGATGTTAACAAACCATGATTAACAGGCACATTAACCTTTGATGTAGGTTTTATTTCTCTTGGAGTTAATAGTTGATTCATTAAAAAATTTGCATGCGTTTCTTGAACTCTTTAGTTAAAACTTACTGTACCTTTCAGCAGGTTCACCAAATGCTCCTCAAAAATGGTGTTTATTCTTTGACATATTTATTGCAAATATATTTCCCAATGTTCTTCAATTAATATGCTTTGTGATATTTTAAATACAAAAAATCCTAGCAAAACAGAAAAGAACCAAAAAAAAAGAAATCTTATTTGTAATTTCCTTTATTATTAAATAAATATCCTTCTTCCAAAGACCAGATAATTATTCCAAACTATTTTCAAAAGCTTCCAGTTTGCATGTTCTGGAAATGGAAACTGTTATTGTTATTTTAAATAAAATGTAGAGAAGATGAAAAAGAATGATTCTGTCTTGAAGACATAGTGCTATAATGTGGAGTTTTTGTGCTATTTTTATCATCGTACATTTAGAATTTGAAGTTTTATTATTAAAATACTTCTATAATTTAAAATTATTTTAAACTGTAGGTATTTTTGCACATCTTTTTTTCCAAATAGTAGCTGAACTTCAAGAATTAACTTCATTTGTGAAAATTACCATTATGTGTTTGAAACACAAAGTTTTATCATGATATAAAAGTTAAATTCCTTTGAGTTTTAAAATAGTCAACATGCATAATTAATAATGGGGAGAGATACCACTTATTGGAGGCATTCAGTGAGCCAAGTATGAAGATTTACTTATTAAAAAAAATAAATTGGCTAAGATCAAGTAGCTCATTCCTCTGTACAGTGCAGTGTTTCTAAAATTCCACAAACAACAACAGCATTAGGGACCCAGGTAACTTTTCTCTTTTAAAAGGCTGGGTGAGGCAGGGGTGGGGTTGGGGCTGGGAGTGAGGGAGTTCTCTTATCTGATAGAATGGTCACAGGGCTGTATCAAGTGACACTGCTTAAAGGAAATCTTGAATCATCACACTCTTAAGGCTACAGTCTTCTAGGAAAGCACTTCCAACCTTAATGCAGTCTCCTCAGCCTTGTGAATGTATTTGGTGCTTGTCAATGATTAAATAACTATTTGGTGCTAGTATTGAGAACTACTTCCCTCTAGTAAAGCACATGAACTTGCTCCCCTTCTCCCCCGACCTTATGGAAGCGCTTCTAAGAATGGGAAGCCACATCCTTTTCTAAGTAAGACTGAGCACACCTGGAGTGAGGCTGAGCATACACATGGAAGAATCTAGGGTTGGCCTGAACTGAAATAAAATGAAATTGACTTCATTTAACAAAGTGTGGTTCTCAGCCTCCAGGCCCTCTTTGTGTGGGTTTATGGGAAGAGAGGAGACGGGGGACCTTCAAAACAAAAAACAAGCTGAGCATGGTGGCACATGCCTGTAATCCCAGAACGTGAGAGGCTGAGGCAGAGGATCACTCCAGTGTCAAGGCCAGCCTGGGCTCCATAGTGAATTCAAGGCCAGCCTGGGCTACATAGTGAGACCCTGCCTCAAAAAACAAAACAGAACAAAACAAACAAGCAAAAAACCAAAATATAAAACAAAGGAAAAGCCTTGCTTCCCCTTGCAAAAAATTTTGCACTCTCCGAAGTGCAGTATTTAAGATTTGTTTCTTTTTCTTATACTTAGCTAAAAAGAGAAGTTTAAAGTTTGAAACATGTTGGTAAAATAGACTTAATGTTTATCACTTTAACCATTGTTAAGCTTAGGATTCAATGGCAAAGTACATTTACATTGTGATGTCACCACCACTACTGTCCATCTCTAGAAAATTTTCTTCATCCCAAACTGAAATTCTGTACCCACTGAAACATAATGCCCCATGAACCCCTCCTTCAATCTCTGGCAGCCCCTATTTTCAGTCTCTGTAAATTTGACTACTATGGGTACCTCATTTAAGTGGACTCACGATACTTTTCTTTCAGTGTGGCTTACTTCACTTAGCATCATGTTCTCAAGTTTCATCCATGGTGTAGCACACATCAATATTTCCTTCCTTTTGAGTCTGAATCATATTCCATTGTATGCATATTCTACATTTTGTTTATCCATCTATGCAATGATGGACATTTAGATACTTTCCACCTTTTAACTTTTGCTACTAGAAACAATGGTATACTCAACCAAGTAACATCACTTGGAATGGAACTCTGCCTCTTCTTCCAGGTGGGCTCCTCTAACAGTGTTGTTACTGTAGCTACCACCACCTCCCACTATAAAAAGAAAGTTTTTAAAACCCCCTTCACCTTTACCCTGTCTTCCTTGGCTCTGGACTTTGTCCAGCCAGGTTTATTTATAAACCATGCAAAGCTCATTAAGGACAAAGCACTCAGCAAAACCACCTGTCCACCCTCCTCTCTACAGGAAGGCACTCAGAAGGGCTACAGCCTGGAGACATTGCTGAAGGCAAAGGCAAGGGAGACTCCATCAGGATGAGTATGAAAGGATGTCAGACAAACAATGGCTTTGTCCAAAATGAAGACACCCCAGAACTGGAACTGGATCCCATCAGCTCCGTGGACAGCCCACAGCACCAGGCTCTGAGCATCATGGGCCCAGAGGAGCTCAGCCTCCAGGGTGTGCGGCCCTATGCTGGGATGCCCAAGGATGTGCTGTTCCAATTCTCAGGCCAGGCCTGCTACCGAGTGCCCCGGGAGATCCTCTTCTGGCTCACCATTGTGACTGTGGTCCTGCTCATTGGGGCTACTGTGGCTATCATCGCCGTCTCTCCAAAGTGCCTGGACTGGTGGCAGGCAGGGCCCATGTACCAGATCTACCCAAGGTCTTTCAGGGACAGCGACAAGGATGGGAATGGAGATCTGAAAGGTGCGTGCTCCTGGCCAAGTCAGGGAGGGGCCCACGATGAGATTGGTTTATGGCCTTCTCTTCTTGGAAATGGAAATATGCCTGGGCTTCACAGAAAGCACATTCCTGTGTGACTGGTCACTCAGGTGTCTCTTCATTAATGACATTTAAAAAACCACTCAGCACAGCCCAGCAATTTTTTCACTTGATGAAAGACTATTTGCCGAAGGCCTCTGAGTAAAAAAGAATGGTTTAATTTACTACCCACTAAGTATAGATGCTTGTTTGGTCATCAATTCTCACTTCTTACCCAGGGTAGGTTTCCTCTGAAAATTTGTTTCCTGCTTTCTATGTACTTTACAGTGGGAATCCAAGTGACAGCTGGGAATTGCTTTACCAGTGTATAATGTGGTTTGTTTGGCAGTTTGGTAGATAGTTTTTTAGTAAAGCATAAATATTTGCAAAGAATTAAGCAGTGTCTTTGAAAGGTGGAGGAGGCCGAGTCTTGGACCATGCTGAGAAATGAGAGGAAGGGGGAAGAGGGCATAGCAGTGTGTTGGTTGTTATTTGGATGAAGGATTAAAACAATATGCATATAAGTAGAAACATAGAAGTGAAAATTTATTTTTTAAAGTTAAGCTAATAATATCTTGGAGAGTTATATATATTGAATGTCCTTATAATTCAGTGCTCTAACCAGACCACTTTCAGTTGTAAAATTGTGCTGGGTGTGGTGGTGCATTCCTGTAATCTCAGCACTCAGAGGCTGAGGCAAGAGGATCTCCTGGAGTTTGAGGCCAGGTTAGGCTACATAGTGAGTTCAAGGCCAGCCAGAACTGCACAGTGAGACCCTGTCTCAAAAAAGGGCATAAAATGGGATTGTCTTCAGCAAATTGGTTGGTATATTCACCTTAGTTAAGAGCAACAATAAAAAAACAAATAAATAAGCTAACGGGCAAATTTTCAATGATTATTTGAAGAAAAGAAAATAAGATAATATGATAGAGTGTAGAATGTGGGAGTGGGTTTAATCCATCTTTAAAATGTTGTGCATGAACTCTTGAAATCTCCAGATTTTTCTTAATAACTAATGAAAGGCTTTTCTTTTGCACATTCATATCATTTTCTGCTTTTCTCTATTTTGGAGTTGCACTGGGGATCAAACCCTGTGCCTCGCCTGTGCTAGGTACTCAACAACTAAGCTTCATCTCCAGCCCCATTTTCTCTTTAAAAAAATTGTATTGTGACTTTACTAGTTAAAGAATAGTATATTTGCTTTCCAAGGTGTGGCCCAAACTCAGTGCCTTTATTTAAGCTCCCTGCCTGGAGCACAGCCCCATCCCAGGTTCCTGGGGTATTTGGACTGCGGTTACAGCACCTTTGTTTCAGCCTGGGAATGGCTTCCCTTCTCTGTCACATGACCCCAGCACCTGCTGCCTCTTACACACTGCATGCTAAGCCAAAGTGGTGTTTCAACTGAATACAAACCAAAGCCCTAAATCTAGAGATAAACTGTTTCCTGGCCCTGCCTTCCTAATCTCCTTCTAGATAAAACCTAAACTCCCACAAACATGACTGTCTCTGGTCATCTCTTACATTTTTCATTTCTAATAAATAACTTGTCCTGGAGGGAGTGGTTGCTGGCTGTAATCAACAAGCATTGGTCCTCAAGGTTGAGGGGATTCTGTCATTATTCTTATTATAAAAAAACCATTCCAGGTATGCTTAGTTGTGGTGATTGCTTTCCATCCCTTGGAGGGTGGGGCTGAGAGCCCTTGTTCATTTTGTGACTGTCCAGCCCCTTTGTTTTCATCAACAGATTCCCATGTGCTGTGCTGTGTGTGTGTGTGTGTGTGTGTGTGTAGTGCTGGGGATGGAACTCAAGGCCTGGCACATGCTGAACACATATTCTTGTTTTTAACATATATCACATTGCTGTTCTGGCTTAACTGAAAACCTTCTGTCCCCTCTTGATACTTTGTGATTGAAGCACAGGAGAACAAAAAGAAGCAGCTTTTGTAGGGGAAGATTCCAGAGGGCAGAGACTTGCTTTGTGCTTTGAACCAGTGACTTCCAGCTGGTTGTGGGATCTGTGATTTGCCATGGGAAGCCACACAGATTACACAGAAAGTTGCTGGAGATTGAATCCTAGACCCAAGTCTCTGAATCTGAATTCTTGATGCTGAGCTAGAAGTCAAAACCACACTGTCTGCTAATTATCTTACAAGGCTCCAAGTACAGAATTTTACTTCCGTATCTCTTCCCAGCCAGGCCTAGAATTCTCTTCTGTATCAATTCTTGGCTTCTTGTATAAGTGAACAATGAAAAAGGTCCAATTCTGCTGCTCTAAAAACACTCTGAGAATGGTATAAAAGATTCTTTACCTTCCACCTCACTGTTGTGCTCTTTCCCCCATCCCGTACTCCATGTGACATGTTGTTTATTTATTGTGCTAAAACCCAGGATTCACCCTTTTTTAGATAAGCTGTGACTGTCTGGTTCCTGTTTCCTTTCTTTGCCTTCAAGCCCTTCACTGTGACCTCCCTTGCCCACGCCCTCCCTGATCAGCTGCTTCTGCAGCTTTAAGGTCCCTTTAAAACACCTCGCCCAGCTCTCTTCCTGGTCTGGTCATCATCCCAATTCCTGCTGTTTACACTTACAGTGATAGCACACTTGGGTTTGGACCAAGTCACACTGCGTGTGCTCAGTAGCCACGTGTGGCGGTGCAGTGGTCCTGGCCACGTGACCACCAGTGACTGTGTGTTATTCTTTGTTTCTTCTTGGCACCTAGCCCAGCATCTGACTTGTGTACCATGTGTAGAGTAAAGCAACGATACTGTAGTCTTGGTCTGAAATGTAAAATTGGAGTAGGTAACGGTTTTACTTATAAGCATCTATGTTGAAGGTTATTGCTGGAAGACTGACTTAGTGTTTTTCTTAGAGCTAGACTTTACTATTTATGTTTTACTCAAATTCAGCAAAATCCCAAATATGTTTGTCTTGAATATAAATACTTTTATCTCTGACATATTCATTTTAACTTAATTTTTTGAGGAAGAGTCTCACTGTGTAGTATAGGCTGACCTTGAACTTACTATGTAGCCTAAGCTGGCTTTGAACTCACGGGGGTCCTCTTGCCTCAACCTCTGGAATGCTGAGATTCCAAGCATGCCCCACCATGCCCAGCCATTTTATTTTTAATCCTTCAAATAAAAGCAAACAAACAAACTAGGCTTTATTTATGCCTTTGGTTTTTTTTTTTTTTTGCAGGTATTCAAGATAAACTGGACTACATCACTACTTTGAATATAAAAACTATTTGGATCACTTCATTTTATAAATCATCCCTGAAAGATTTCAGATACGGTGTTGAAGATTTCCAAGAAATTGATCCTACTTTTGGAACAATGAAAGATTTTGAGAATCTGCTTGCAGCCATACATGATAAAGGCAAGTTGCACAGGAGGCGGATGGAAGGGGGTGAGAGTTGAGAAAAGTACTTCATCAAATGTTCACTTAAAGCATTTTCCCCTTCACTGCCATGTACTATTCAACCATAATCTTTTACTGACATTTGAAATGTTTTCACTCATTAGGTTTAAAATTAATAATTGATTTCATACCAAACCACACCAGCGATAAACATCCTTGGTTTGAAATGAGTAGGACATGGACTGGGAAATACACTGATTATTACATCTGGCGTGACTGTACCCATGAAAACGGCATAACCATCCCACCCAACAACTGGGTGAGTTCCAGCTCACCTGACCTGCAACGGGCCAGATCTGTAGTGATAGAACTGGTTGTTTATGAAGCTCTTTTAACGAAAAACATGAAAAGCTACAGTTTCTGGGAAGAAAAAAAAACGAAGAAAAGATTATTGGGATTTATTGAGGTTTCTGATTTCACTGTGGAGCTGGTGTTGAAACCTTGCTCCTAGCCTCTCTTTCCCGCATTTCCCTCCCTGCCCAGCATGGATTCCACATCGCACTTGTTTAATAACTGCTTTGCTACTCTCCAGAGACCTTTGCCTTTCTGGCTTTTTGCCTCCCTTGTTGGGTAAAGGCCTAGATATAAATGAAGGCAACCACCTGCTTTCTCTTTGTCTGAAACTTGGTATCTGCACCTCGGGGTATATCCTATATTTGTTGTTCCCACCTGAACTAAACCATGAAGCTTCTTGGGACCTTCATTAAATCCAACTGATCAACATGGCCTCCCTTCTCTTCAAACTCTGTACCTGGCTCCTTCCCATCTCATCATGCTCAGCAGCAAACCACACTTCACAGAGAGGACAGAAGCCACCCACACTTCCTGTCCCATCCCCACCTTCTTCTCATAGCAGAGCCTCTGTCTGTCCTGCCTGGGGTGACCAGATTTAGCAAAATAAAAATTTAGCCTATCGAGTTAAATCTGATTTTATACAGAGTGGATACTTTTTCATTATAAAATATTGTGTAGGTCATGCTTATACAGCCAGCCCTCCATACCTGCAGGTTCTGTGTCTGCAGACTCAATTGCATATAGAACATTTGGGGGGAAAAATTGCATCTGTACTGAATTAGTACACACTTTTCTTTCTGGTCATAAATCCCTGAACAATCCAGTATTACACTATTTGCATGGCATTTACATTGTAGTAGGTAGTATAAGTAATCTAGAGGTTATTTAAAGTATACAGGAGGACATGGGTAGGTTCTGTGCAAATATTATGCTGTTTTGTAGAAAAGATTTGAGCATCTGCAGAGTGTGGTATCCAAGGAGGGGTAGTGGTCCAGGAACAAATTCCCATGGATACCAAGGCACAGCTGTCCTAAAATATTGTGTGTTGTTTTCTAACATTCGGATTTGTCTGAGCATCCTATATTCCATCTCACAACTCTACTGTCCCAGGCCAGATCCTCCTGCTCCAGTCTGCTTCCTCCCTTTCTTTCAAGCCTTTTTCTCAGGATCATCTTGCCTTGCTCCAGTACCCGCTTTTCTCTTCTTTTTAATTTTTTTTTAATTTTTTGGTAGTACTGGGGTTTGAACTCAGGGCCTCCTCTTCATTTCTTGACCTTTTAAAAACATTTAAACATGATGGCTCCTGGATATCATTATAAAGTTCAAAATTGAGAAGATATAAAAATTTTAAGTGACACTCAGAGTGGACATGTTTCATGGTGACTGTGTGACCTCCTACCCCCAATCCCCTGCCCCAAACTCAGTGAATGGCACCACTCTGTATCCTGGGGATCAGCAGGTCCTGGCACACTCATCTTTCTACATTTTTCCCTTGTAATCCACCCACTTGTTAAAATGAAAATGACATTAACAAATATTTACTAAATGCTTGCTATGTGCCAGGTTCTCTGCTAAATGTTTAATATGCGTTGGTTCATGTAGCCCACCCTTCAGGACTATGAATTAGGTTTGATTTCCTATTTTGCAGACATGCTGACTGAGGTCACATAGCTGGTAAATGAAAGGAGAGTCCTGACCTGGATCTCCAGACTTGAATTTTTCTAGAAAGAAGAAATCAGCTACGATGTTTGGGTTCCAATACTTGAAGGTGCTAGATTTTTATTCTTGAGGACTAGTAGATTTTTTTTTTTTTTTTGGTACCAGGGATCGAACTCAGGTCCTTGTGGTTGCAAGGCAGGTGGCAGAACCACTGAGCTAAATCCCTGGCTGACTAGTAGAATTTTTAAGTGAATGGTTCTAATAAAAAAAACTTTTTGGAAGTACACATTAAAGATTCAGTACATCTGGGTTCAAGCTCCAAGACCAATAGAATATAATTTTCTCCCACACTGACTATGATCTGTGTTTCGTCACCAATAGGAAGGAGTCCAGAGCCTTGTGGGGAAGAGTTTGTAAATATGTTAGTAATGTTTTTTAAGATGCCCTTGTTGAATTTGAGAACATCCATTTGCTATGGTGGTCTTTATGAGCAGCAACTACTAGACAAATCCATCACAACCACATCTGTGAGGCATTAGGCCAACACAGGTAGCATTTGGGGCATTAATTTAGTTTAGGGCTGCTGTCCTTAGAGGAAAACCCAGGATTTACACACTGCCTGCACAGGGCCAGGCATGGCAATGATTGTGTCTTTGTGAGGAATAATACCATGATAAGAATAATGCTAAGTAATTGATGTTCTGTTTGTTTGTTTGTTAGTTAAGTGTATATGGAAACTCCAGTTGGCACTTTGATGAAGTGCGACAGCAATGTTATTACCACCAGTTTTTGAAAGAGCAACCTGATTTAAATTTCCGAAATCCTGATGTTCAAGAAGAAATAAAAGTGAGTATAGACACCCACACAAACCTTTCCACTAATGGCAGGTTAAGTGGTTATTTGAAACATTTTATATCAAATAATAATTGTGCTAGCAAATCAGGTAGTATAATTTTCAGATTAAGGCAACTGATTCAAATACAGACACTAGGATATGCTGGTGGCTCCTTTTTTCATCTAACTCAGGATAATCTAAGCAGAAGAAGGCCAGATCCCTTGGTACCTTGGCTTGTGACAATGTGCTGGTTCAGGGAGGTGGTTAGGAACGTGGGCCATAGGGTCTAGCTCCCCCACCCACAGTGGGCTCTGGCTGAGTTATTTGGCTTTTCTGTGTTTCTGACCCCTCATCTGTGAAACCCTGTTGACAATTGTCTTCCAGGGCTGTTTGAAGATTAGATGAGATAATCCATACACAGCGCTTCTGTGTTCATTCAATAAATATTAACTCATGCCTCCTCTGTGCTGGGCCCTGTTCTAAGCACTAAGAAGGTGGCAGTGAATAGAAGCAGCTCTGCCTTCATGAGCCTTGAGCGTAGCAAGGGGAAAGCAGCTGAATACACAGCTGAGTAGCAAACATGTTGGGCTGCGGAAGCTAAGGCCATCAGAGTGCAGGTAGAAGCTGCTCTTCTGTAGAAGGTGGAGAGGAGACAGCCTGTGCTAAGGAGATGCTTGACAAAGATCTGGAGTAGGAAGGGAGCCATGTGCCTGTCTAGGGCAGTGGTGGCGAACCTATGGCACATGTGTTATTGTGTTTTTCTTTTAAGACAAAACATGTTCATGTGTGAGTTGTTTCCTCTAAACTAAAACCTCAGTATTCAGGTTTAATTGCGGTGTTGGCACTTTGCAATAAATAAGTGGTTTTTGGGTTGCAATTTGGGCGCTTGTCTCTAAAAGTTTCACCCTCACTGGTAGGGCAAGAGAACTTTGGGCAGAGGGAAGAGTGAGTGCAAAGATTTTGAGGGAAGAGTGTGGTTCATGTGTCTGTCTCAGAGATGATTGGGAGGCCAGTATGTACAGTTTCCAGATTTAGCAAATAAAAATACAGGTTACTCAAGTTAAGTGTTAAATTTCAGATAAATAATGAATAATACAATGTTTGGAACATACTTCCGCTAAAAATTATTCATTGTTTACCTGAAGTTGAAACTTAACTAGGTATTCTATGTTTATCTGGCTGTGCTTCCAGAGACACATGAGGACAAGAGGCCGAGAGCTGAGGCCCTAAAAGAAAGAGATGGGGTTGATCATACACGCCCTGAATACAGATGTAAGGGCACACAGTGCTCTGCGGACGGGAGAGAGCTCGTAGCACCTGCAGCTTCTCTGATGGGCCCCCACCTGAGTGGTGCTGGTTGTTCTAACAGTACCTGATACACAGTTCACAGTACGTGGTAGCCACGTGGTTCTCCCTTCTGCTTCTGCTGTGGCCTGCGTGGGTGGGAGGTGACGTGAGTTGGGCAGCACTCTGACATAGGCAGGTGGCAGAGGACCTGAGCAGAGCAGGGTGCCCTGGGTGCCTTTCTACAGCTTGCTGCGTCAGCTGAACAGAGACCACGCATGTTACCAGGGGCGCCTAGAACATTTAGTTTATTTTTCTTTCATTTTGTTCTTAAGTAAGAGTTGTACTGAAATATAATAATTCATCTACCAGAAAACTTATCCCTTTTGAGTGTGTGATTCAGTGGGTTTAGCATTTTGCAGAATTGTACAACCATCACTAGTAATTTCAGCACATTTTCATCACGCCAAAAAGAAACTCCATACCAATTAGCAATCACTCTCCAAGCCCCCCTTGTGTGCTCCCTGCAGGCCTTGGCAGCCACTAATTTGTTGGTTTGCCTAGTCAGGACATCTCATAGAAATGGAATCATATAATATCTGTCTGTATATATTTGGTATCTATCTATCTATCTATCTATCTATCTATCTATCTATCTATCTATCTATCTCTGTACCTATAGTTATAGCTATATGTTTATTTGAGAAGCTAAAGCATTTCCCACAGCAGCTGCACTACTCTACATTCTCACTGGCAGTTTCTAAGGGTTCCAGTTTCTCTCTGTTCTCAGCAATTCTTGTTATGTATAACGTGGCACCTCACCGTGCCTTATATTTGCATTTCCCTGAATGGCTAGTAATATGAGGATCTTTTCATGTGCTTAGAACTTATTTATCTTCATCATAGAAATTTCTATTCAAATATTCTCTCCATTTAAAAATGGGTGCCCCAAAAGAAAAAATGGAAACAAAGTCTTTGTAAAATAGGGAGGGGTGGAGGGGTTGAAGGGAGGGCAGGGGAATGGGGAAAAATAAGAACCAAGATATATCATGTAAAAGTACAAATTCCCAAAGATGAATGCCGTCATATTGTATACCTAAAATGTACCAATAAACTTAATGAGTTAAAAAGAAAATAATAGGTAAGGATAAGCTTTAAAAAAAATAGGCACTGGGTGTGGTGGTGCACATCAATAATCCTAGCACTTGGAAAGCTGAGGCAGGAGGATCACTAACAGATTAAGAGCAGCCTGGGCTACATAGTGAGTTCAAGGCCCTGTCTCAAAAAACCAAACATAAATAAATAGGCATTTTTATCTTTCTATTGTTAGGCTGTATATATCCTGAATATCTGATTTGCAGACTTTTCTTCCATTCTACAGTTGTCCTTTTACTTTCCTGACAGTGTTCTTTGAAGCACAGTTGTCTTAAATTTTGACGGTATCTCATTTATCTGGCTTTGTCCTGTTACATGTGTTTTTATTGTCATATTTAAGAACTTCTGCCTAATACAAAGTCGTGAAGATTTATCCCTGTGTTTTCTTCTAAGTTTTTATGGTTTAAGCACTTTTACGTTAGGTAGCCTCTGACATGTTTTGGGTTAACTTTTACATATAGAGTGAAGGTAATGGTCCAGGTTTATTCTTTTGCGTGTCGCTACCCAGTTATCCTAGAACTTCTTTTTTAAAAGCACGCTGTTTTTTCTGCACTGAATTGTCTTTCAACTCTTGTCAACTGACCGTAAACGTGTGTTTATCTCTAGACTCTCAATTCTGTCCCATTCACCTGCATTTCTAGACTGCGTGTATATCAGTACCACACTATCTGGATTACTATAGCTTTGTAGTTAAGTTCTAAAATCTAGAAGTGTGAATCATGCAACTTTGTTATTTTTTAGTATTGTTTGAGTTCTTCGCATTTTCATATACATTTTTGCATTAGCTTGTCTATTTTTACAAAGAAGTCTGATGAAATTTTGATAGGGATTACATTGAGTCAGTTTGCGAAGTATTTGCTAACTTAATATTAAGTCTTCTAATCCATTCATTTAGATATTCTCTAATTCCAATAATGTTTGTAGTTTTCACAGTATGTCTTATAATTTTTTTTTTATGTGCATACTGCAGATCAAACCCACTGAACCCAGGCCTTATACATGCTAGGCAAGTGCTACATTCTCAGCCCTTCCTGTGGACTCTTTAGTCTTATGACCATTTTTATTGTATATGTTAGGTATTTCCAAAGTTTAGGTGAAATACTTTGGGATGTGTTCTAGAAGGAGGCATCATGACTGTGGCCTTGTCTCAGTGAGCTAGGGTGGAAGGGTAGATTTGGTCCGCACACTAACCAGGGGTCAGTATACAGTGGACTCTTCTGCACCGAAGCTCACTGACACACTCATCCCCCCCCCGCCGCCCATGCCTCATTACAGTGTACCATGTGATTTATTTGGAGTATATAATGCTCAGAACAAGCCTAACAGGGTATTTTTATAGCCATTTTATGGAGAAGGAAACTGAGGCTTAGATAGGTAAAGTCACCCTACTTGGGAGTATTTTAGGATTCAAACAAGGCTTTGGGGTTGAATTTGTGATCCTTACTGCTCTAGCTCCTGCTCCTGCTTTGAAGCAAACTTTCTCTCTCCACTTCATTTTTCCTGCATAGTTTTTTCAAGGTTTTCTGGTGGAAATTCATAAATGTGAATGTCAGCCAGTTGATTTATCAGGCAGTGGATTTCTCCTGGCTCCTTGTGGCAATGGTGTTAGATTGTCTGGAGATGTTTAAACAAGTGTTAAACAGTTTGCAAAAATGTGCTGGTCAGTGCATTAATGATTCTTTGACTAATGTGGCTATTCTCTTGCAGGCATCCAGGTAGTGGAATGTGAGTAGGAATCTTACTTACTAGTGCCCAGGAGTGAAAAGCTCTCTCATAATGTTTCATTACTGCCTCTGGTTGAGAGGTTGGACATTACTTGCAAGGCTGGTTTGAAAGATTTACTATTAAAAGTAAATAAATGCTAAGAAACCCTGAGTAAAGGCACTTTGTTCCTACAAGTGGACCTTCCACATGAAAGGGACTCCCAACACCTTCTGCCCCCAGCAATGCTTATCACAATGATAAGAGTTAAGCAGGTTAATAATTTACATCCCAGATAGTTTGTGGCAAAGAGGCCTTTGAATACTCCTGCTCACATACCAACTTGGACCGGAGGAACTGAGCCCTTACCCTCTGTGTACCCATCAGATTTCACTTTGTCTGTGCAGTGGGAGGCTGGTGAACAGGGGGCATTCAAGGCAGAACACCCCCTCTCTTCTCGGGCTTCTCCCTTTCCCACTGGCCATCAAGGGATATGGCTGTGACCCACAACTCTCAGGTCTTGAGTGCTTTCCACAGAAGAGGTTAGGAAGCCTGCTCAGAGGAGTTGAGGGCTTATATTTGTGAAATCATATTTTAGACTTTCCCAGTTGCTTTGGTTATTACTTGCCCTCCATATCCCTTTTTTGGTAGATGAGGAGGAAACAGCCCAATGAAGTGACCCAGTGGGATAGTGATATAGTAAGGAAGAGACTCCAGGTGGCCTGGCCCCATGTCTGGGCTCCACATGATCATGGATGTGCTGGGTGGCAATGCTGATCCCTGCAGTAGAGACTCCTGAGGAGTCACTGTGCTCATAGCGACTGGGGATGAGAAGGCAAGAGGCACTTCCAGCTGAAGATGGAACTCTGAG